AGATACTCAGGTTTGGGGATGGAGGAGATCGGGGTTTCTTCTTCTTTTAGTGATTGTGTGACCTCGACCCAGGGCTCGACCCTTCTGAGCCTCATTATCAAATCTGCAGAATGAGGGCAATGTGACCCCACAGAGTCCGGAGGGTGAGGAGCCAAGGGTGTGGAGTGCTGGAAACAGAACAGGTGGCCAATCACCAACCCCTCTGCCCAAACCAGCACCTACCTGCTCGCTCCCTGCTCAGCTGCTCCTGAGCTCTTCCTGAACATGCCACGGAGTCTGAGTTTTCCTTGTCCCTGTCACTGAACTGTATGACTCAGAGGGCAGGGACTTGGCCCTGCTCACCACTGTCCTCTGGCACATGGACCAGGGCCTGGCACAGCACATGCGCATGGACAGGTGGATGTGTGTGAGCAACCACAGGAGAACTACAGGGTCAGCTTATTTGATAGGTGGATATGTGAAGACCCGGGGGGCAATGAGACAGAGAATAACAGGGGAAATCAGCAGCAGAAAAGCAAAGCGGGTTAATCCTCTTTTTACTCAACAGTGTGGAAGGGATGTATTCACAGTGATCTCAGTGGTGGGATGATGGTGGGGTGTGTGTGTATGTGTGTATGTGTGTGTTACTCAGAGACTGAACACTAGGCTGCTCTACCACTGAGCTACACCCCCAGCCTTTTTGTTCTACTTTGTATTTTGAGACGGGGTCTCACTAAGTTGTCTAAGTGGAACTCAAATTTGTGATCCTCCTGCCTCAGCCTCCTGAATACATTACTGGAATTACAGACACAAACCATCTCACTCAACAGGGACAGTGGTGATTTTTATTATCATGTTCTTCCTCTTTGGCTAATGATCTTTCTACTATAGTCATGTGTTTACTTGTGTAATTAGCAAAAAACAAGGATGAAAGAAAACCAAATGAGACAGAAAACAAAGCCAGAGCTGTGTGAAGAAGAAATGCCAGGGTGCCACTCAGTGAGTGTTGCACTGCCCTGCAAAGGGGACCTGGGAGTTCAGCAACTGGGTACCTGAGAGTGTGGCCTGTACTCTGCCTGGGCCTCATCTCTTCAGATGGTGTCCCCAGCCCTTCCCTGAGGCAGCCCACACTGCACAAAGCTTCCCGCTTGCCCTCTGCAAGAAGACGGGTTCTTCACTTGCACAACTGAATGCAGTATCAGTTTTACCTCTGAATATGGAAACAACCCCATGCTTCTAGCTGACTGTGGCCACTCTGGTGACAACTCCTGGGGCCTGTGTCTTAGGGGAGGTCTGACTCTCATCATCTTGCACTTTGAGGACACCAAAAGTATTTATTGTGTTGCACCGGACCTGGAGGAGAATCTTTTTCCTTTGTATGAATGTTGTTACTAGATTGTTTTGTTTTGTGGTCGTTGGGGATGGAACCCAGGGCCTTGCATGTACAGGGGCTCCACCACTCGGCTCCACCCTGGCCCCTGCTCTGGATTCCACATGACCACATACCCTCCATAGAGAAGGACTCACTTCCCAGCATACTGATCTGACACAGCTGGACTACAATTACTCGATCCTATCCAGCCCTCAAGAAAATCCCACTGTCCCTTCTCTGTCTGACCAAAGCAAAATGAAGGCAGGTGCTCTCTTTGTATTACCACTATCTCCTGGGTGTGCAGTGTCCAAAGAAAAGAAGTCAGGCCAAAGTACAAGCACTCTGGGAAGCTGAAGCAGGAATATGCCAAGTTTGAGCTCAGCCTGGGCAATTTAGCAACTTAGTGACTCTGTCCCATTGGCACCATGCCTGCCTCACAAGTGCAAGGTCCTGAGTTCCATTCCTGGTACCAAAAAAAACTTACAAAGGGGGCTGGGGATTTAGTTCAGTGGTTCCGGCGCCTGCCTAGCAAGCGCAAGGTCCAGAGTTCGATCCCCGGTATCCAAAAAAAAAAAAAAAAAACTTACAAAGGCTGGAGATGTAGCATAGCACAAAGTCCCTGGGTTTAATCCCCAGTACCACAAAAAAAGGGACTTATCTCATCCTGAGTTTTAGCTGTAAGGCTTTGTGCAGTGCTAACATCATTCACCAGTTCCTTTAGAATTGGGTTCATTTTCCACACAGCTTGCATTAGTGATCTGCAAACACCCAGGTGTCCTCAGCTGGCATTTGTGGTCAGAGTCATCATGACATACCGGCACCACCTTCAAAGTTTTGTCTTTTTTTTGGTACCAGGGATTGAACTTGGGACCTTGCGCTTGCAAGACAGAAGCCAGAACCACTGAGCTAAATCCCCGGCCCAAAGCCTTGTCCTGGGACATGGGACTTGACACCAGCAGCAGAACCTGTGCCAGGCTGGGTTGGGATGGGGCTGTGTGCCCGCTCCAAGGACAGCCCTGCTCTGCTGGCACTGTATAAGAAAGAAGCTGCTAATTCAAGGATATATATTTTTAGTTCCAACTCAAGCTGAAGAATCAAAGGCTTCTGGTCCGTGGCCCCTCCTCATGGCTGCAGATAAATAATCTGGCAAGCAGTGCAATCTCTTGTTTTGCCCTGTGCCCTGCTGCAAAACAGGGGTAACAGTGCTCCCTACGAGACTGAGGCCTTGAGAGCCCTTGCTGTGCCGGAGTGCAGGAGATTGGCAGGTGGGAGGCCCGAGGTGGGGACAGGATGGCGCTTCACCTGCCAGGTGCTGCAAGGAGGGTCTGCACTTTGATCTTCAGCTGTGGCACAAGGGAGAAGCTGGATATTCCCAGAGGCCACGCCCACCTCAGCCCTAGATGGTGTTTCAGAGCACCCTGGGGATAATGCTTCCACCTGCCCTATCTTTCATGAATATTAGTTTTGTTTTGTTTTTTTTTTGGTACCGGGGATTGAACTTGGGTCCTTGTGCTTGCGCAGCAGGCAGCAAAACCACTGAGCTAAATCCCCGGCCCATGAATATTAGTTTTTTCTCACTCACTCATCAAGTGCTTTGTTTTTTTCATTGTTCTTCAGCAACAGACACCTCATTCCTTCCTCTAACCACACTCAACCTCTCTAATCTCTGTGGGCCTTGTCCTCCCTTATACCACAGGGCCTTTATATAAGCTCCCTCAGCCTGGAGTGCTCTTCCTTTCAGATCTTTAACTCAGCTGCAGCATCCTTTTCTGCAGGAAGCCTTCTCACGGCCTCTGCCCCAGCCCCCTCCCCCACCCATGTGCCCATAGGGCCATGTCCCCTGCCTGACACTCCTCACTGCCACACCAAGATGACTGAAGTGTCATTTCCTCAGCTGCTTACAGCCACCTACCGTGAGCAGGGCATTTGCGTTCGATTTTTCTCTTAGTGTCCATCTCCCCATGGGTCATAAGGAGACCTAGGAATGCTGGTGTTTAGCTCATCCCCAAGCCTGGCTCATAGAACAGGGCTCCATAAGTAGTCGGTGAATGGCTGAATCCTTATTAAAGGACCTGACTTATATGCACACATGTGAAAATACAAGATTTTAAAAACCAAATCAAGCCTAAGAGGATACATTAGGTGGATCACAGTTTGTGCTTCACTGACAGCTGCTGGTCGTGTTGGGATTGAACCCAGCAGCCAGGCCTAGGAAAGGGCTGGTTCTGGGCCTTGCTGTTTGTGGCAACAGGTGAGCATGGTGGTGAAGAGTAGGTAAGAAGTAACAGTGTGGATGGTTATACGAAGAGAAAAATCCATGAATTACTCCTCAGCAGTAATCAAAGGAGATTGCGCAGTAGGGTTGAGATGTTTTAACTATTAATAAAAGCAACACCCTGGTGACCGGCAGATCTGCAGCACAAACAACGTGGTCCTTGTGAGTTGGAAACCCAACCCCAACACTGCTTTCCGAGCGAGATAACTTTTGATGCAACCATCACAGGACAGGCACTCAGGCGAGAAGCCCAGGGAGACGCCAGGGATTTAGCTCAGTGGTTTGGCCGCCTGCCTCGCAAGTGCAAAGACCTGAGTTCGATCCCTGGTACCAAAATAAAAAAGAAGCCCAGAGAGACACAGACACAAACAGCTCTGGCTTCAGGAGCAAAGCTGACTTCATTTGGCCTCTAGGGGCCAGCATAGCATGGGCACTGGAGGGCACAGCGTCACGTGCTCAAGCCAACCAGCCTAAATCCTCCAATGTGGTAACACAGGCCCAAGGGCAACCCAAGCCCATCCTGCCACATCACCCCAGAGCTATCTTCCCCCGACACACACACATTGTCAAGGTGACCAATAGTACAGGACAGTGCCATGTGCTGGCTGTCAGACTGGAGTCCTGCCCTGTCCTGCCATGGAGGAAGGACAGCCATTCCCCTAGTCAGGCCTGAGGACTTGGTAGGTTCAGATGTCACGAGAGATGAGAGCGCTTGAAACCGGAGGTGAGAAATTATTACCAGGCCATGGAAGCAAGAGAGAGTGGCACTTGCTCTATCTTTTGCTGCCTGCCTAGAGTTAGAAGGTGTACTGCACAAGGAGCCAGGGAGAGGGAGTTTCTTTCATTGCCTGTTTCCATGGTGCCTGGCAGCCCTTGGCAAACCACAGCTGGGAACCTCAGACAGCCAGAGGGCCCCAGACAGCCAGAGGGCCTTATCTAGCCTGGGCCACCCTCCAAGGCCCATCCTCCTGGCCTGTCTGGGCCCCAAGAATGACACAGGCCACAGGCATGTGGCCAGGACTTCTCTCTCACACCTCCCTGGGGAAAGGAGGCCAATGACACAGCAGACAAAGTGCAGAACCAGAGTCCAAGTCTTGCCTACCCCTCCCTACCTGACCTTGGGGACAGCTTTGTGAAGCCTGCACTTCTGGGGTTTCATGAAGCCCCATCAGAGCTGTCTGCCCAGCAGATCCTCAGAGGAGGAACACATTCCTTCCTTCCCTCTGTGCCCGACTGCACGCCCAGATGACCAGATAAGGGCCTCTTTGATTGCCAGTGTGTTTACTCAGGCCTGGCCCCACACTGGGGAAGGCATTGGCCACAACTAGGAGAGTTAGGATGCCTCTAGGTGGTGAAGGGGGACAGCCACCTTACCTGCTCCTGGGAATTCATCACTCGCAGCTTCATCTGCTTCAAGTAGGTGGAGGTGAGGGGCATGTTGTAATCAATGATCCCGGAGACCAGAGGAGATGGAGGCTCATTTTCTGGCAAGAAGAACAAAAGGAAATCCTTTCAGTCTGTGCTGGGGCCTGTCACCTGCATGCAGAATTCAACCCAGAGGAGGCTGCCTCTAGGAAGGAGTAGGCCAGAGGCCACTGACTGGCCTGTAGTGGGCTGCATGGTGTTGAAAACACTTGCCAATAGGGGCCAAGTCAGTGCTCAATAATAAGACATTTCACATGTTAGAAGATGTGAAAATTTAGCTTCTTTGAAAAATGGAAGGTGTGGGCACCCAGAGCTCCCATAGTGGATGGCAGCAGCCACTTCCCCTAGACAATGTGGCACTGTTTGCCACCCCCTTCCCCGCACACAGTCCTTATCCTACTGCACACCTCTGCTCAATTAGGATAACTGCTAGGGCGCTGAAGGCATTCAAGTTTCCAACTCTGGTCTAAATCAGCTCTCTTCCTGGTGAACACCTGCCATGCACCCCAGCCCAGCCCAATTGAGGCCCCACAACATCCTCCCAGGTCCCATATGGCTCACAGGTCCAAACCAAGCCTCTAGCACACCCGCCCTCCCAAATGCTGGCTCCTCCTTAATCACATGCAGAGGGGCATGTTCCTCCCATGTATTGCTTTGCTGTCCAGAAGATCAAAGCAATGCATGTTCTTTTTGTAGAGAATCTGCAAAGTGCAGAGAGACATAAAGAAAAGTTTAAAAAGACATAATTGTACCAAGCAGCTCAGCATATGCTTCTGTTTATTTTTTTCCTTTCCATATTTCTTCTTTACATATTTGATATCACAATGCACACAAAGAATTATAGTCTGCTTAAAGAAAGGGGTTGGAGGTTTTTGGGGATTTGTTTTAACATTTTGTCATGGGTGTTTGTAACCATCAATACTCTTGTTTTGCATTGCAGATATAATTTTTAGAGCTGTATAATATTTTATCATAATTTACTTATGTCATTCCTTTACAATTGGTTATTTGGGTTGTTTCCTATTGGGGCTATTATAAACATCACTGCAGGAAACATCTCTGTGTACAAATACTGACCTGTATTTCTGATCTTTTTCTTTTTAGAACTGATTCCAGGAAATGGAATTAATGGGTCCAAAGGTAGGAATATTTGATAACTCCTGAAATCTCTGGTCAAGCTGCTGGGGGAACAGTGCTGACTACCTGCTCTCTATCTTTCTCCTGCTTCCAAGAACCTCAGGCCAGGTTTGTGTAATCCCAGGCCTTTGATCAAAAGATCCCCTTGTTCCACTGGTGGGCTGGGATCTGAGTGGGGTGAGGGAAGTGGGAATGACTTCCTGATTATCCAAAGCCTGCCCTCCTCCATCACCACCACACCCAAGAGACAGGGTCGGGGAAGTAAATGCAACCTATCCTAGGATGACTCTCTACACCTGGCCCTCCAGAGCCAGCACCCAAAACAAAGAAACACCACAACCATGCAAAACAGGTGAAAGAAGCCAACATAGAAGGTCGAACACTGTACAATTCTGCTTGTGTGAAATGTATAGAATGAGCAATTCACAAATGGAATGTAGAATAGAGATTACCTGGCAGTGGGAAGGGGGTATTATATTTAAAAAGGTACAGAGTTTCTGTTTAGGGTGATGAAAAACTTCAGGAAATAGATAGTGGCAATTAATGTGTCTAAATGGTACGATTAAACAGTAAAATGGCAAAGTTTATGTTATAAATATTTTACTACCAAAAAGAAGAAAAGCCGGGAAACATGAGGGGACAGAGAGGACAAGGGGAAACCCAGCTTGGCCAGGGTTGAACAGCCTGCAGACAGCAGGACTCCGGGTCATATGGGCCCCCAGGACCAGGGCTCTACCAGGCACATTTACAGTTATCAAGTTTTATAAAAATGCAGAAGTTTGTCTTGATTTTTAGCTATGTTGTCACACACAAAGTGTGTTTCATTTTTGTTCTTTGAGGGAAGAAGCGTCACTTAATGGAAGGTCTCAGAAACTGGCTTCAAGTGGTCCACCCTCCCCACCTCTCTTTTTAAAGAGCTCCCTCCTGTTTTGGGGACAGGAAGTTACTGGCACAGACAGCTGGTGTGTAAGAAAAATAAGGTGCATTTTGTGCCTTTCTCTGGCCAAGCAACTATCATCCTAGACTTAAAGTCCTCAGTCCCAGGGGTCATTTAGGCCCCGGCTCCCCCAAATCGATTGGCTGGGAGGCAATATCAGCAGACATTCTAGGATTTCACTGGGGTGGGGCCACTGAAAGGAGCTGGGGTTCCCGTTTGCAGACTGTGGAGCTTCAGACTGAGAACCGCTGCTTCTGTTTCATTTCCTCAAAGATGAGGAGCTTGTCTGGTGAGAGGTTACTGAACTACAAGGTACTTGTGAAAGTCCAGAGAGGCAGGGAGCTCGCTGTGTTCTTTCCCTGATGGTCACCCATGTCCTGGTTGAAATGCCATGACGGCTTATGAGAAAGTATTATTCACAAAGCCAGTTATAGGATGGGCGTGGTGACACACACCTGTAACGCCAGGACCCTGGAGGCTGAGGCAGGAGGATGACAAATTTGAGCCCAGTCTAAGCTACATAGTGAGACCTCATCTCAAAATAATAATAATAATAATAATAATAATAATAATAATGTCAGTTATACTTGAGTTTAGGAAAATGAAACAAAACAAAACACAGTGGCCAGGATGGCATTCCTGGGAGGCAGGAGAAGGAGTCGTCACAGGTCTCTCCCCTCCCCAGCATCTCCACAGAGCGGAAGCCATTTCCAGGGCCAGGTAGGGGAAGGCAGGATGCCTGATCCTGGGCAAACACACAAATCCACCAGACAACATCTTTTGGTGGTGGCACCTTGCAGGGCAAGGGACATTCCATGTCAGGAAATGAGCCATGGTAGTGGGAGGTCCCAGGGCTTGGTCATCACAGTGAGGAGAAGGCCAGAAGAGGTTTTTGGCAGTGGGAGCCCCACAATCTTTGAACCCCATTAATGGGAAGGAGTAGGCCTGGAGCCTATGGCTCATAGGCAGGATCTGCACCAGGACAGGAGAACTCAGGCAGAAGCCCAACAAGGAAGAGGGGTTCCTGGGGCTCCCTGAGGAGGCGGCAGCCATGCCCAAGCCTACAAACAAACCACCACCACCAGCACAGTGGACAGTTACCATGGAGAGCCAGGGATTTAGCTCAGTGGAACCTTGCCTGCCTCACAAGTGCAAGGTCCTAAGTTCGATCCCTGTATAAAAAAAAAAAAAAAGACCACAAACCATGGAGAGGGTGAGTTAGGAGCCTGTGAGGGTCATGGGGGCTAAACAATCCAGCAGGTTGCTGGGAAGAGAGATGGAGGAGGTGCCCCCAAGATTTCAACACCTCTTGGCCAAGGAAAATTGAAACCAACCCAACTGCTGGACCTAGTTTTCCATGCCCTTGAAAATAATCAGTGATGTAGGGCTTTGCCCAACCCAAGCCCACTGCCAACCTCCACAGTCACAAACCAATGTCCATCAGTCACAAACGCTTCAGCAGAGGGGCAGTGGCCCTCATGCCCTCCAGGAGGGATACAAGGTGGCACTACTCACGCACTCTCACCTACTGAACCAAAGAGCTCCTCCTCCTGGGATGGCAGGGGTTCTGGGTGCCCACTGCAAGGCTGGGAAAGATCCCCTGGTGGCGCCAGTGATATGTGGAAGGACAGGTGTGCAAGAAGGGCCAGGCACAGGGAGGCCACAACAGCAGCTGGTCTGGTACATGAGGCTCAGACTTGGAAACTGCTCCCAGGCCTGGGGCCAGTCAGAAGGGGCAGGATGATCTCCAGGGGAAGCGAACTGGGCAAGCAAGTCCTCACTTGAGGAGCACTGTGTGCTGCATTCGGTGGGGCAGATGGGGAAATAGAATATGGGGGCCTCTGGTCTCAGGAACCAAAAAAGACTGAGCAGGATGTGAGTCCATTAGAGCTTGGAGGAGGGCAGACCGAGGGCCCAGGAGTAGCTTGGGAAAGCTTTGTGAAGAGGATCAAAAGGATCTGTGTTCAATCTCCCAGCAATGGACTACCGAGCACTTTTCAAAGCGCTCCATGTGGATCCTTTTGCTTGGTGCTCCCAAGAACCCCATGAGGTGAGTGCTGGTAACAATACCCCCATCTTACAGACGAGACAGCACTGCACAGAGAGGCTATGGAACTTTCCCACAGTCACACAGGGAGTGTGAGAACTGAGAGAGGATAGGCCAGCATGTGGGGCCAGAAAGGACAGGCTCTACAGGGGCAAAGGAACAGGCTGGAAGGGACTGGGTGGAGAAGGACAGGAAAAGGCATCTGGAGGGCCAGGTACGGAGGGGCCTTGGGGACTACACAGGTGCATCTGGGCATGGTTGCGAAGGAGTCACCACCCACATGGACAGGTTGTTCCCTGAGGAAGCAGAACCATTGTGCCCACTGCCAACTTGGGGTTAACAACCATGCAACATCAAGTTGTCACATCAGGAAAACTGAAATGTGACACACAGTCCCTCTCTGAGCACGGGCTGCTCTGAGGGCACACCTGGCTCTCCTGTCCTTCACCCTGACTGGGAGGCCCTGGAATTTCCCACCCTAGGCCTTCAGGATGACACTGCCTCCTTTGTTTATACTCCTGGTGTGGGGGGGGCACAGGGCTGTCCAGGCCCCCATACGATGCTAGTGACAAACCGCTGAGCCAGGGAGAGGCCGCTTAGCTTCCTCTCTTTCTTTCTAACATGAGGCCGGGAAGCAAGGCACTCTCCCTGCCTTCCTCAAGAAGCCTCCATCCTGTCCCCTGTGGGGGGAGGGGGGGCTGCCTGGGACAGGGGTGTGGAAAGGGGAAGGGCCTGGTGCTGGCATGGCAGGGGTGCCTGAGGAATCGAGAGCAGCTGCCGTGCCAGAGGCCACCATGGCGGGCAGGGATGGGAGCTCAGGCCCTCGCTGGGGCAGGAAAAAGGAGGGGGCACCTGCCAGCTGGCAAGGTCAGTCCAGTAGGCTGACGCCTCTGGCCATTTAGCAGACAGGGGAGCCTTTCAGACCCTGAAGCTTGCCACAGGCAGCTGCCAGAAACCAACCATTCCCTGCTACACTGTGTCCAGGATGTGGACACGATGTGCTCACCTGGGTGGGGTGGGCTCATCGTGGAGCCCACCTTGGTGGAGGCTGGCTATGTATCTCTCTGTGGGGTCACCTGGACACTGGCAGTGGTACAACAACACGGGCAGGAAACAGGCAAAGGGCACTCAGGTACCCTATGGAATGGCTTGTTTCATTCATCTGCATCCTCAGGAGGAAGGTGTTCTGTCCACTTTGAAGATGAGAATGTGAATTCTCTTGCCTTTATCTCTGCCTCCTGGGAGAGCCAGCATGAGTGACTTCACCCAGCACTTCTGTTAATAGCTGTTATGAGCAGCAGGTGCTTAGAGAGGTTCCCTAATCTACCCAGGGACACACAGCAGGGGACTAGGCTGCACAGCCAGACCTGCCTGACCTTGAGCCTACACTCTCATGGGCCACATGGTCTCCTGCTCCCCCAACATCTCCTCGGCCTGTGATGGGAAGGTCTGGTACTGGGACCCAGAAATGGTGTTGCCCTGAGGATGGGCAGGGATGTCTTCTCCTCTGCCAGGCACAAGCCCCTGAAAGAGGCTCAGCACAGAGCCCACTGAGCTGGTTTATATCCTCGGCAGCTCCTGGCTGTGATCTCCTTCCCTCCCTCCTCTTCTCTGGGTGTGGGTGCGCAGTGGTGGCAGCCAGAGAGAAGCAGCCTGCTGCTGTGATCAGCACGGCCCTGGGAGACTTTGCAGCCTTCAGTGAGGAGCTGGGGAGGTGAGGAGGACCTCACGCTATCAGGGATGCTGAGCAGGGGAGTGGGGTGTGGAGCCTGAAGTCACCCAGGGCAGCTTATAGGCGCAGCCCCTCCTGGCCCTGCCTCTGTTCCTCTAGGCAGCAGTTCTTTAGCTGACTCCGCCAGTTGCTATGGAAACAGGACAGGAACAAGAGGGGGCAGGCGTAGGGTGGGCAGGATCCAGGCAGGCATAACCAGGGCACATGCCCCTGGGGCCTAGACTGTGCAGAGTGGGCAGCAAGGAGGAGAAAGTCCTCCCAGCCCACCTACCATCTTGTCTGGGGAGCTGCTGCCACTCAGCCAGGGCCAGGCCACATGGACAGCATCCTCAGAGTCACTCAGACATCCCACCTCATCACAGTGACCACCACAGCCACAGCTCACACTTTCCACTCAGTAGACCCATGCAGGCACGTGGACTACCTCTCAAATCTCAGCTGCCTCAGGGTGGGGGGGGGGCATTATTAACCATCCATTTCAGAGGAGAAATTGAGGCTCAGAGAGGTGTAGTTACTTGCTCAAGACACAGCAATTGAGGAACAGTCCGTATCCACACAGTACTACCTTGGAGCTCTGCTCTGACACCAGAACCAGTGTTCTGAGGTTTGGAAGCTGGCCGATGTGCCTGGATGAGGCTGTCATGGCCTGGTGACCTCTGGATTTGGTGAGTCAGCTGGTATCAGAAATTGCTTACATGTATCAGGGGCCTCGAGAATGAGAGGAAAACGCCGATGGCCATATTCTGACGCTGAGGTCATTGCCTGCTCAGCTCTGTGGCTGACTTCCTACCCTAGCCTGTGGATGCTCCCTGAGCATCACCTTGATAAGAGGTTTCCCTCCATTCCCACTTTGTTCCCATCCTCAGACAGAGGACCTCAGCTTCAGTGACACCTGCCAACCTCATGCCCAAGAGCTGGTACAGTACATGGGGAGGCCTTGAAACCCTGGTAAATGGCCTACCTGGGCACCATTCCCCAGGGCAGAGTGATAACCATACCAGCTCAAGTGTGCTAGCCCATCTCCTTGAGCCCAAGCCACCTGTGGGCAGATGGGGGACATGGCACTGAAGTGAGGACCTTGCTGGTCTTGCTGGTCAGGACAGAGGAGGGGAGCATGGACATTGATGCCAGGGACCAACTTCAACTGCTCTCAAGTGCTCTGTTTTAGCTTCTAATCCATACCCATAGGTCTACTGACCTGAGACCCAGGAGGCTTATTGCCAAAGGGCAGGAGGACACACAAATCAAGGGGTATGCTGCCCAGAGGCACCCATGTGGAAACAGAGGCAAGCGTTTGGTCCAGGCAGCCAGAACAACAGAGCTTTAAGGTCAATGCCCATTTTCCACTGGAACCTGGCTAGAGGGAAGGGGCTGGCCTGTGCCTTGAAGAATAGGAGGAATGGGGTTGCTGGCTTCTAAGTGAAACTTAACATTTAGAAGAAGTTAACTAAGACAAAACCAGTCTCTCTGGGCACGTCACAGACTCACACTGGCCTCTGGGAATGGTGACACCTGCTCAGCCTGCACTTTCTTCTTGTGCCAGCAAAGGGCAGGCCCTTTCAGTTGGGAGCATCTGCTCCAGCAGCCCTCACCCAAGCGTCCCTACCTTTGGGTTCCAGGCCATTGGAATTAAAGTGCATCCTCTTCTGACACTCGGTGCAGCTCATCAGGAAGCGGGTCACAGCCTCTCTCGGGAGGAAGGCGTAGGTCTCTGCGATCTGGGGAGGAACCAGTTTGCTCATCATGTCAATCCATGGGGGCAAAGGGGTCACCTAGATCTGAGCTTTGGTGGCAGGCACTGTGGACCTTGCCAGGAATGGCAGGGATTTGTCCAGCAGGGGCAAGCACTGGCTATTCTGAGTTGTGAGAATGAACCTGTACTTTTGCAGAAAGCTGTTTATTTAAAAAATTTGAATAAAGGAGATTAAGAATTGCAAAAGTGGGCTGGGGATTTAGTGCAGTGGTTCTGGCGCCTGCCTCACAAGCACAAGGTCCTGAGTTCAATCCCTGGTACCAAAAAAAAAAGAATTGCAAAAGCAAAGCATTTACACATCATCTAGTCTTTAGCCTGTTCTAATAAGTAATATTCCTCTCAGAACATTTTAATGCTGCCTCTGCAAAGTGAGCATCACTCTACAGTAGGATGAGAAACTTTCCCTCTTGGAAATGGATAAACTGAGACCCACTTATAAATTCACTGGCTCTGGCCTATAAACAGAAACCAAAGTTAGGAAAGAGCTGTGAAAGGCTGGCACCAGGGAATCAGACTTTTCAAAGTTGTTGGGCTTTTAGGGACCCTTATGTTCCTGGTGAGTAAGGCCCAGAGAGGTAAATCAACTCATCTGAGGTCACACAGCTTTTTAGAGGCAGTACCCCAGGGAGGAGAAAGGGCTGGTGGGCAGGAGGGAACGTAGACATAGAAGGGAGAGAGAAAGAGGAAAGAGCTGGGTGGTGGGTGAGGAAGAATGGCTGTGGGCCAGAAGTCCAGCCCTCTCTCCTTGCCCTGGGTTTTGGGAAGCCTGATGGCCATGGCTGTTGTCTTTGGGCCCCAAGGGTCCCTGCAGCCCCAGGTTCCCATTGCAGGTGTCACACTTGCTTTCTGTAGCCCGGTCCTCCCACTCTTCTCCACTAAGGGGCAGCATCACCCAAGTGTTCCCCACCCTCACTGTAGCGGGGCTGGGGAAGTTGGAGGGCGTGGGGCTGTTCCGGATGTGCCCGCCCTGCCTCCCTGTGGGCAGCACAGGTCTCCTCCCATCTGGGCCCACAAATGCCTGCTCCACCTCTGTGGTGGCCGCCAGGTGGGGGTGAGGGCGTAGAAGGCTGGGGGTGCCCCTGGCTGTGGCCAGCCCTAGGAGCAGAGGCTCCCAGCTCAGCCTGCCAGTGGAGTTCCAGGGGCCACTCCTGCCCTCCACAAAGGCAAGTTAATTTTGGTGACACAATTGTTATTTCTCAGCTGATTTGATGCTCTTTGGAGGAGGCAAGCTCCTTGATGAGTTATCTTCCTTCCAAATTCCCTGTCTGATTGCCTTCCTCTGGAGGTCAGGGACAAGGGTAAATCCCGGTGCCTGAGTGGAGGTGGGAGATGGGAAGACCACAACCAGTCCCCTGGGTGGCAGGGCCGAGGGATAGAGGCTTTTCTGCCAGGCACAGGCTCATCTTCCACCTCAGCCTAGGGTTGCTGGAAGTCTTGGGGTTGGGTTGTTCCTAACACACCTGCTGGGGGGGAGGTGGGCTTAGTTGAGGAGCTGATGGCTGTAGGAGCAGGGGGGATTGGTGCATGCTGGGCAGGGAGGAGGGCTGTGGCTGACTCTGGCCAACAGATGACCCCATGGACTTCCTGGAGACAGCACCCCAGGGCAGGGCTCCGAGAGCTGAGCAGACAACTTGGGGAGGAGGGTGCCCAGTCAGCAGGGAAAAGAGGGCAAGGTTCACACCAGAGGTGCAGCCCTGCCTGCCTGCCTGCTTGCTTGATCATCTACCCTGGGCAGAGGCATTTTTAAAGGGTTCAAGGAGGGGCCTTGGCCTGGCTGTTCTCCTGAGGGCTGCACATAGGACAGGCAGGGGTCCTTCTCACCACTTGGCCTGCTGAGGGCACAGGAATGATCTCCTCTCCAGGGGTGGGAGTGGTGGCTCTGTTGGCTTTGGCAAGAACCCCAGCAGTGGACCAGAGCTTGCTGGCCTGCCATGGGGAGGGGAGCACTGGGCAATACCTCCTGGGTGTGGGTCCCCCAGAGGGATGAAAGAGGTGAGGCATCCTCTGAGCTGGGTGGAGTGGAAGTGGGTGGGTGGGGGTGGGAAGGCCCTGCTGGCCATGGCTGGAAAGACACACCTAGACTGTCTGCAGCCTCGCTCTGCTGCTACAGAGACCAGTAGGAGGACACACCCCACCTCTGCAGGCATCTTTTGGTTCACCCTCCTGGCTTGTCTTGCCCAGGACTAGAAATGGGACCACTATTTCTATTTGAGTGTGTGGATGTCCCAGGCCACAAGACCGCAAGATGACTTGAAACTAGAAGGACAGTCCTCAAACATACTCTCATCAATAGGATGGTGGTTTTCAAGTGATTTCAGAGCGACAGACCCTGTTCTAGAAATAGCTGTCCATGCTGAAGCCCAAAGCATGAAACATAAGGATGAAGTTTCTGTGTCTAAGGAGGGGAAGCTCCAAGACCCTTGTTCCCCCAAGTCTCACCCAGCTGCCCTGCACTGTCTATGGCCTTGCTCTCAGGGCCTCCTGCCTGGACACTGAGATCCACATGTGAATTTGCCTTCTCCGTTTTTCTGAGTGGTAAAAACTGAGAAAGGCTTTGTGGAAGCTGTCTGCTGAGTTGCTGGCCTGAAAGGCCCTGTGTTCACTCTCCAACTCAGAGGCCGACAAAGACAGATGAGGCCAATTGGGGGGATTTGCACCACTTTACAAGATCCTCCTTTTGCCCTGTGTTGGATTAGCACGTGGTGGGCCTGGAGCAGCTGCTGACCACATCTGGCCTCAACTCCAAAGTGGCTCTGGAAACTAATCTGACCTCCCAGGACTCTGGGAGAGAAAGAGGAAGCAAAAGCGTTCACTAACTTCAGAAAAGCAGGAAAGCCCCTTGGGAAAAAGGGTCGGTCCTACGTGTGGGTTCAGGGAACTTTGTAGAACTACCTGGAACCTTCCCCAGACTCTTCACTAGTGAGATACCTTGGGATCTTTGGAACCTCAGGTCACCAACATCAGAGGCTTCCTCTTCAAAATCTGAATTCCACCCCCCACACACATACCCCAGCACTGTCCAGTGTAAATGGCTATCTACCCCTGGCTCAAATACCTGGAGGCTTAGAAAGCTCACTACCTGCCCTCTTTGATCCCTTGGTAGACAGGGGAAGGTGCTAAAAAGTTCTTTTCCTCACTGTAGAACTGACCTCCTTTAGTGCCATGAACAGGTTGGCCATCTCCCTACCAGGACCCTCACCATCCCTACAGGAGCCCCAGGCTTGTAAGAAAAGCCCTCATGTCCTCAAGATTGTAAGGCAGCCCCAGAATTCAGCTTTGGCAAGACACACAGGGACAGATCCAAAACTCCTTCAGGCAAGGGCTTCCTGCAAACACTGTGGTACCAGGTTGTGCCTCTCTGCAGCTAACAGCACAGGTTACCTTAGGGGCTCCTTCCAAAACTAAGGACAGGATGGGGCCAGAGCAAGGCCTGGGTGGAGGAAAATGGGAGTGGGTGAAAAGAGAAGGACAAAAGCATCCAGGAAGCACCCCTGCTCCCAAAAAGGAAAAGGGTGGCATAAGAAAGGTGACAGATGGGAAGGGGGGAAGGGAGAGGAGGCACATGGTGGGGGTGCAGCCTCCTCGCCTCACATCCATGGTGGGAGAGCCCTGGCCTGCTCAGCCCAGCCTTGGCCCTGCTGCTGAAATTCCAGCTCTGTACACAGCCCAGCAGGCTCACTGCCAGTCATGTGCCAGCCCCAGGCTGGGTAGCAGGAAGTGGGGCATGCAGCAGGCATATGGACAAGAAGTCAGGAAGTACAGACCAAAGGGCTGGATGTCCACTTGGCCCAGGGATGCAAGTGCCAGTGGGACCAGCCTAGTCCTGTCCTGCCCTCTTCACAGCAGGGAGGCCACAGACCCAGGCCCAGGAGAGCCTGCAGGAAAGGCTTGGTGCAGGCCACTGAGGGCCAGGGAAGTCACATGGGCAAGGGCCATCTGCTGACTGCAGGAGATTTGCAGAGAAGCAAGATGTATACTGGTCAGGGCACAGGCTTGGGGCCAGCAGAGTCACCTCAGGCATGTTGTGTGTCTCTTTGAGCCTCAGTCTCCTCATCTTAAAGTACCTGCTTCACACATGAAACCTTCAGATGTGTAGAGCTCAATGAAGTTAGCAGGGGGAATGCTGAGTGCAGAGCCTGGCATGTCTAAGTGCCCAGTCCCACTTGAAACTCAATGCTTAAGAAATCTCCCCAGTCTCATCAGTACCAAGGCACCATATCACTCCAGCCTTGTAGCCCTCCCTTCTACATGCTCTGGCAGAAAGATCCTCAACTCCTTTCCCAAGTCATGTCCTGAAGCACAGACACTGAGCAACAGGAGGGCGGGGAACAGGATGAGCATCTCCTGCTGCCCTCAGCAGGGCTCCTCTCTGTCTGAGGCCCTAGGGCTGGGGTCCCTCCTTATCCCATTCAGGGTATGGCCATCATCTGAGGACAAGGGCAACCAGACTGTTGGATTCTTTAAAAGTGAGGCCATATGGGGAAATCATGAACTTAGGCCACCTCCACTATAGTCCCTGGGTGTCTATGGAAAGACCTGGGGACAGGAGTGAGGTCACATCTGCCTTAGGCAGGGGATCTTGGGTTCAGAGGGCCCATGTCTAAGATTCTGAAGATAAAGTCAATGCAGAAGAGGGTATGTGGGCCAGCTGACTCCCACTCAAGGGCTGTGTGACCTTGGACAGGAGGCTCAGGTCTCTGGGCTGTCTCTAACAGGGACACAGACCAGGGACCGTGGGAAAACTTTGAGGCTTGAAGGAGCATAAAATGGTGAGCACTGAAAAAAAAAATGGTGAGCATTGGACAAAGGGCTCAGAGCTGGGAATGAGCCATGGTGACAGACTCAGATGTGAGGACCAACATAAGGATGGAGTCCAACACAGCGAGGCTTTCCTGCAGACCAGAGCTAGGCCTCTGCTCTGACCACAGTCTGCTTGTTTCCCACCCCCTCATTTGTGATGGTTCCCACTCTGAACTGCTGTTCCCACTCCCTCCCATCTACCCAAAACACAGAAGGCTGGCTTATATGCCACCTTCTTCACAAAGCACCCCCCCAAGCTTAGCACTGACACCTGGGGGTGGCAGTGTGTTTGCTGATGCCCTGAGTGGCTGGGTTTTTGCTCTCTCAAAGCTAACCTTGAAGACACCTCTACTTTTGTGGGTCTTGCTTTTGCCCTCTGCTTCCTGCCCCAAATCTAACTGTGATCTCCTAGAGGGTAGGAAGTAGGTCCTCAGATTGCCCTGGGGACTCCTGTACTGACATTCTAGGCTTATGGGGAGCTAGATGAACCCACATACAACAAGCTGGAGGACAGGCCTGGCACATAGTAAATGCTGTGCCTTGGGAGCATTGACACCCATTTTGCTTATTATCTGCCCCCCCCCAGCAGGCTGCAAGGGGTTGGGGAGGGGGTGAGGCAGAAACTGGGAAGAGGAAGGCTTCCTCCCTGCTCCATCCCTCTCCTTCCCTCCCTCACACTCCCTTCAACCTGCTTCGCCTTTGTGTTCAGACCACAGGACCCGCCCCTCACCCTGTGAGCTGTCTCTGGCTGCCATGCCCTTGCCCTGTGCCCCCTTGGGTCCCCAAAGGCTGATTCATTATGCCTCAGCCCCCCCACCCCCAACATGTGTGGAGCCCATGGCCGCCTGCCAAGGCCTGGGGCTGCCAGAGGAGGCAGAGACAGAAATCTCACCGCCCGGTAGGTTTTCTTCTGCCCAGCGTGCTTGGGGGCTTTGCCTGGCTCCGCCGAGCTCTCCACATGCATTGAGTAGATGATGTCAAAGAAATCTTCCACCACAGCAACCCGCTTCAGAGAGATGCCCTCGGGCTCCGACAGGCCATCTGCCCCCTGCGACAGGGTGGACAAGCTGTGTTAGTGTCAGGGCTGATGTTGGGCAGAGCTGGGCCCTGAGGCCGGGGCCATGGGTCAGGGGCCAGGGATGGCACTGCTCCCTGACCCAGCATGGCTTCCAATGGGGTTGGGAGGGGGCACTCGAGGCAGGGTGGCTGCTGCTACTAAATCTACCAGCAACAATGGGCAGAGAACCATGACCACGAAAATACAAATTAAAAAATCAAGAGGCTCCATGTTCACAATTTCAGACAGATTGTGCCAGACTCGGGCGGGGAGCTCTCAAATCACACACTGTGCCAAGACCATCGTAGGAGTCTCTGGGGAGGGGCGAGTGCTAAATAGATGCGGCCCCATCAGGAGCTCACCAATTAGCAGTAACCTTTCACTGTGGTCCTGGGCTGGGATCCCAGGGGACCAGCTCCCATCACCTGGGTGGCTCCTGCCTCCACCCTGGCCTTTCTGCAAAGCTTTTCACCACTGCCGCCCTCCCCACTCCAGCAGCTGAGCGGCATCCACAGCCCCCAGGCTCTTTGTGTGTGGAGATGCATAGAATAACAGGCACTAGGCCATGTGGAGGTGGCAGGGCTGGGAGCAAGGTGGCCATGGGTTCCCAGTCTCTTATCAGGCTCTTGCTGCAGCTGGCCTGGACAAGGTTCCCCTGGATCCCTCCAGATGAGTCTCTCAGAGCCAATAGCTGCTGGGCTGGCACCTGCCCTCCCCACCCACAGAGGGGGCTGCAGAAAAAACTCCAGGGCACAATGCAGGGGCAAGGTCAGTGCTTCAGGGCACAAGCTCCTGATTCCCAGGGCCTGGGATGCACAGACCAAGGGACACCCGGCTCTCAGACATCATTTCCCTCTGGGAGACTGGGAGGGCTCCAGGCAGTTTCAGAGATCAAGAGCAAGCAGTGTGGAGGGGATGTGAGGAAAAGAGGCAGGCTTTTCTCAAAAAATGCCAAGAGACACATCGCCAAGGTAATTCCTACCCAAAAGAGCCCCATTGGAGGACATCAGCACTGCTGATGTGGGCTTCATCTGTTCCCTCCAGCTGTCTCTCCAGGACCTCAAACAATGCACGACACATAATAGGTGTTTGATAAATAACTACTGAATGAGAGGTTGGTTATAAGTGGCAGCTGGGCAGGACAGTTTAGACATACTCTGTTCCATCTTTTAAGTGACTGTGTGGCTCTAAGGAGTGTTATCGTGCTTCTCTGAGCCTCAGGACCTTCATCTATAAAATGGAGATAAAGAGGCCCCTTTCCCATGAGCTGCTGGGGGAGAGAGTGGCATACCTGGCACACAGGGGCTGCTCCATAAACGTTGTTAAAAAGCACTTGCAGGACTAATGGTGGTGCTTGTATGGAAAGCCTGAGGCCCTGGGTTCAATCCCCAGCACCACACATACACACAACAAAAGTGTCTTGCACAGCTGAGGATTTAGCTCAGTGGTGCCACCGCCTGCCTTGCAAGTGCAAGGTGCTGAGTTCGATCCCCAGTACCAAAAAAAAAAATCTGTCTTGCAGCTAGCCAAACTTCCCCAGATATAATATACCTGAATGTGGCCACAACCCTGGGAGGTTGTTAGGGCCTGAGCCTGCCTGGGGAATAGTAGCTGGAAAGTAGCAGAGGTGGCTTAGAACCTCAGACTGTGGTCCAAGTAGAGTACAGGCCCTGCTGGCATGGGACACTCACTCACAACACATTCTGGCCACAGACACAGTTTGGTTTTATCCAGCAGCTTTTGCAACATGCAGTGATGGGTTAGCAGAGCTGTCTCATTGCCACTGTCTGTGTGACAAACAGCAGAAAGCAGATGGAGGAAGAAGGGTAGCTGGGTGTCTGGGGTGTGGGATACTGAACCTTACAGCTAGTGGGAGGTGTTCCTGCATGGTGACTCTGAGTAGTGACCTCACCAGCCCTGTACAGGCCTTTTTGTAATGACTCCCTTCTTGGTCAGTATCCATTTCAATGGGGTCCCCTCAGATAGCAGGTATCTCTCTCTCTCTCTCTCTCTCTCTCTGTACATATGTCTAGGGAAGTTGTCTGCTGTCGCTCTTCCTTGCTCTGGGCAAATTCTTCAACTTCCCTGAGCTTCACTTATGAGACAGGCTGTAATGTTCTGTGACTTTGCAGTTTTAAACTCTCCAGGAGTTACTTTCGCCTCTTTCTTGAGGAACCCCCTCCCTGAAGTCCTAAGCCTTCTGAAAGGGCTCATCAATGACTAGCTGTTCATTAGCTGGCTTGTTACTACCAATGGTTTGGCGATCTTCAAATACTGCTGTGACAGTTGAGATGGGAGCAATACTACAATAGGTCAGTTACAATACATGTCTAAACAGAGGTTCACATTCGCAAAAACAAAGGAAATTTAAGAATAAATACAACTGGGATTCTATTTCTTAACCTGCATGTGATTATACATACAGGTTCAGTTTATAAAAAGCTATTAAATTGAACACTTATAACCAGTGTGCTCGTCTATATATATATATATATATATATATCAGCTTTAATTTTTTGGTACCGGGGAGATCAAACTTGGGTCCTTGTGTTTGCGAGGCAGGCGGCAGAACAACTGAGCTAAATCCCCCACCCCCACTCAACTTTTAATTTTTAAAAATTTTTTTTAAAAGTATAAAAGGATAGGTTCCACATTTTGATAATCTGAATCCAGAAGCATGATGATAGGATTAGCAGATTAAAAGGAAACAGATCTCTACTCATAAAATTATTTTAGGCCAGAACACACATATTTCTGAAAAAAAGGAAGATGTAATTTGGTGGGAAGGAATGAAGAAGACAATTCAATGAAGAGACAACATTTTAGAGAAGCAAGATGAAAAGTGCTTTCTACCCAGCACAATGAATGGTGCTTTTTACTCCTTACTCAGGTTCTCCACCTGCAAAACAGGCCTATAAAGTCTTACTTGCACCTTCCTAGAATCCAGTAAGAATGTGTGTCAGACATCTGGCATATAGGCTCGGTAAATGTCTATCTCTTCCCTTTCGACCCCTGGAGTCTGGGCATTTTGTGTTTAGGAATCTGCTCTTATCTCCTATCCCTCTGATCCATGCAGGTTACAAAATGGGTCCCTGGGGTAATGTCCACCATCAGAAGAGACATGTAATCTTAACTGATTTTTAAATAATATGATAAGGCTGTCCCCCAAACTTGGACTGAGTTCTCCCAAATTCAAAGTGTAAGTAACTGACCCAGATAAAACAGTGAAATATGCTACCCAGTACCTGGCCTGTCTATCCCAGCCTTGTCCTGTCCTCCTGTCTCCATCCTTAGGTAGATGAGGGTAAGCAGCAGCTTGACCCTGGTCTAACGTGACAATAAAATTATCCCAGAGAAACTCTTCAGGAATTATGAGTAACTCCTTCTTTAAAAATGGATTATTATTTCCTCTGATGTTCAAACTTGGTTCCTGTAATCTGCCTAGCTCTACAGCAGATGTGCACAGGAGGGAGAGGGCCTGCAACAACCAGAGTTCAAAAGTCTGCAGAGCCACACCTTGAACTGTCCTCTAGTGAGCTGTGGCCACCTGGACACTGTGCATGTAACACTGTAAGGGAAGAACCCCAGGATAACTGGTGGGCTTCAGGGAGAACCTTGGAAAGATGGGAACAAAGGGATCTGAGAGCAGTCATGGGCTATGGATGTCTCTACCATGCCCTGCATCCAAAGAGATAATAATTTTCATGGTAAATGCTGCAGGAAAGCCATGCTTTCCCTAGCTGAGAATGCAGACAGTGCTACAAGGCCAGAGCTGCTAATCAAAGAAGCAGAAAGCACCTTCTTCACAGCTGTGGGATGCCCCGGCCACCCACTTCTGCTTCAAACCCAAATGTGCTTCATCTAATCCATTGCTCTAAGCAAGCTGCACACTGGTTTGACAAAGGGAGTTCATTTTATAGATAAGGCAGGACCAAGAGGGGACTGGAGTCTGTTGACTGTCCCAGATTCCCCAAAACACCCAGAAGGAAAGATGGAAAGGAACCCTGTAGTGCCCCAAGGGAAAAGCCATGAAAAACACATGGACATTTGGGCTGGGCAGGATGGGCCTCTGGGGCCTTTCTCTGTGGGGAAGAACATTGCCATGGTTACACCCTCCATTCATTTGAACCATCCAACTCCAAAACAGCCCATCAGATCCAGGCCAGCGAAACCAGACATGGCTCTAGTTTAAAAGATTTATAGAGCTACTAACTTTCTTGGACATTGCCTACTCCCTTAAAATCAGCGCATTTGAATACTAATGTAAAGGCAGAGTTGCAAGTCATTTAGGAAATCACCAAATGTCTACTTAAATATTATTGGTATTTCCAAATACTTACAACAATGGTCCTCAAAGTGTGGCCCTTAGACCAGCCAGGAGTATCAGAAGTGTCTAGGAGCTTATTTAAAATCCAAAATTTCAAATTCTGCCTCAAGCCTAACAAATCTGATGCTCTAGAGGTTTTAGCAGTGTCATGCCCCCCCCCAACTCCCATGATTCCAGTGCACGAGATTTTGAGAACTCCTGATTGGAATATCTCTGATTGAGAAAGGGGAGGTAACTAGTTGGGAGACTGTCACTGACTCATAAAGTATAGACAGGCATGCTCTGTGCTTCCAGGTCTAATACATTAAAATTTTGACCTCTAGTGAAGGCCAATTTTCTTAATAGTGACAACAAAAGAATGGTATTGGGCAATACTAGTATAAATTCAACACATCTACCCAGAAACTTATAGAATGTGGATTATGGATGGAAGAGGCAGGAGCCCACTGCATCCTGACATTGGAATTTCATGTCCTCCCTGGGAAAGTTAATTAATAATTGAGAAGGTCATCCCTTAGCAGGTCTTTTCTAGTTTCCTCAGTTTCTTCAAATGATCTGAACAAGGCCTGGGGATTTAGCTTTGTGGTTTCACCGCCTGCTGCGCAAGTGCAAGGACCTGAGTTCGATCCCCAGTACCAAAAAAAAAACAAGAAACAAAATCATC